GGGGGGGGGGGGGGGAGAGCGCGGCGGCGGGGGGCGCGAGCGCGCGGACGGGCAGTGCGGACGCCACCACGCGCGCGGCCGCCCGCGCCCCGTCCGCGCCCAGCCGCGCTCCGGCCGCCGCGGCCGCGCGTCCTCCGAGCCGGCCGGCAGCTCCCAAGTGCCCGCGGCGGCGGGGGGAGAGGCGCGGCACCCACCGGCCTGGATTGGCCTCCGGGTCCCCCCGCCTGGGCGGCCGAGTGCGGGCGGCCCGGCTGGGAGGTTTGAAAAGCGGGCGAGAGACAAAGGCAGCAGGAAGCCTCCGCGGCGCCCGGAGCCCGTGCGCGCAGCCCCGGGGCCCCTCGCCGTCCCGCGGCCCGAGCGGCGGCGGCAGCGGCGGGAGGCGGAGAATGCGGCAGGGAGCGTGGGAGCGGCGGCCGAGCGGGCGCAGCGGTGCACCCCGCGCGCGGCGTGGCTAACCGGGGCGGCGGCGGCCGCGGGCCCGGCAGTGAGTGAGAGGGCGCCGTCCCCGCCCGGGATGTGAGGACGAGCGGAGCCCGGGGCGGGGGGAGGGCCGGGCAGGGAGGCGCCGCCGCAGGAAGGAAGCGCGGACTCCGGACCCGGAGGAGGAGCGGCGCAGCCGAGCCGGAAGGCGGGCAGGGCTGGCTGTTGGGCCCGTGGCGGCTGCGGCGGCGGCCGGGGCGCTCCGCGCTCGGCGCCCCCGGGCAGCGGCGGCGGGGCCCGCGCCTCCTCCCCCCGGCGCCGCGGAGGGGGGAGGAGGAAGATGGAGACCCACATCTCGTGCTTGTTCCCGGAGCTGCTGGCCATGATCTTCGGCTACCTGGACGTGCGGGATAAGGGGCGCGCGGCGCAGGTGTGCACGGCCTGGCGGGACGCCGCCTACCACAAGTCGGTGTGGCGGGGGGTGGAGGCCAAGCTGCACCTGCGCCGGGCCAACCCGTCGCTGTTCCCCAGCCTGCAGGCCCGGGGCATCCGCCGGGTGCAGATCCTGAGCCTCCGCCGCAGCCTCAGCTACGTGATCCAGGGTATGGCCAACATCGAGAGTCTCAACCTGAGTGGCTGCTACAACCTCACCGACAACGGGCTGGGCCACGCGTTCGTGCAGGAGATCGGCTCCCTGCGCGCCCTCAACCTGAGCCTCTGCAAGCAGATCACCGACAGTAGCCTGGGCCGCATTGCCCAGTACCTCAAGGGCCTGGAGGTGCTGGAGCTGGGGGGCTGCAGTAACATTACAAACACCGGCCTCCTGCTGGTCGCCTGGGGCCTGCAGCGCCTCAAGAGCCTTAATCTCCGCAGCTGCCGCCACCTCTCGGACGTGGGCATCGGGCACCTGGCGGGCATGACGCGCAGCGCGGCCGAGGGCTGCCTGGGCCTGGAGCAGCTCACGCTGCAGGACTGCCAGAAGCTCACCGATCTTTCCCTAAAGCACATCTCCCGGGGACTGACGGGCCTGAGACTCCTCAACCTCAGCTTCTGCGGGGGCATCTCGGACGCGGGCCTCCTGCACCTGTCGCACATGGGCAGCCTGCGCAGCCTTAACCTGCGCTCCTGCGACAACATCAGCGACACGGGCATCATGCATCTGGCCATGGGCAGCCTGCGCCTCTCGGGACTGGATGTGTCGTTCTGTGACAAAGTGGGGGACCAGAGTCTGGCTTACATAGCACAGGGCCTGGACGGCCTCAAGTCCCTTTCCCTGTGCTCCTGCCACATAAGTGATGATGGCATCAACCGCATGGTGCGGCAGATGCATGGGCTGCGGACGCTCAACATCGGACAGTGTGTGCGCATCACAGACAAGGGCCTAGAGCTGATTGCCGAGCACCTGAGCCAGCTCACTGGCATAGACCTGTATGGCTGTACCCGCATCACCAAGCGCGGCCTGGAGCGCATCACGCAGCTGCCCTGCCTCAAGGTACTCAACCTGGGACTCTGGCAGATGACGGACAGTGAGAAGGTCAGGTGAGGGCGCAGCATCGCTCCCCTTGTCCCACCCAGTTCATCCTCCCGTCACCACCACGCCCCCTGTCCCGCTTACACACTGACCCCTGCGGAGATGCCATGGGGACAGCGACGCCGCGTTTGGGACTCGTTTCCTCCGCCCTCCTCAGCACCCCTGCCCACTGCACCCCATTCTCGTTGCCTCCAGGGCCCTTCTGCCAGCCGTGCCGTGCTTCCCATCTTCTTTCGGGATGGAGACATGAACTCAGCTACTTCTGCACCCCTTCTGCAGGGGCCCGGAGGACTGGCTGCGTGGCGGTACCGAGTGGCGTCTGGAGTGGGGGAGGGGTGGGGAGTGACTAGTTCTTTCAGCCCTGGGGGGTGAGGAAAGTGTCTGCCTTCACTTAAGCTTTCATTTGAATACTGTGATCTGGTGGTTATTTTGAAACGTATAAGAAGCAAACCCAACCCCAACGGCCTTCTACCCTGCTCCCTCCGTGACCCCGGCTTCTTTCGCAGTGCTGCGCTATTCACCCTCCGTGCAGGTCCGGGCCCTCGCTCACCTTTCTTAAGAAATCTGAAATCATGGTCCTTTTTTTTTCTGCTGAATATATTCTATATATATATTATATATATATATAAATTATATATATATATATGTGTCTGGCTACCTCGTTTTAGTTTACTTTTTTCTCTGAAGCCCTGGAATTCTACAAGAGAGATATTTTGAGACTGAAACATTTTTGTGCCTAGACTGGAAAGATGCCCATTGGGTTTGTACATCTGTTTTGTTCTGGCTTCTTCCCAAACCCCATCCATTCCATGTGTCCGACTTCCACATTCTGGCTATAATTTCCTTTTTCTCCCTGTCCACTGGGATTTGAGGGCCCAAGGGTGTTCCTAAATCTTGACTTAATTTATAGCACAATGTGTGGGAGAAGTGAGAGTTAAATTGTTTTTCTTTTTGTTTGTTTGTTTGAGATGCAGATTGTGTCTTGAAAATGATTATTATATATGCAAATTCTGCCCTACCCTCACCCTCTTCCAACTTTCCCCACAAAAGGGTCACACAATGAGGCTTCCTGCTGGAAGGAGAGGAGCAGAGGTGGCTATGGAGCCCCAGGGGCTGTAATGTGAAGGGGAGGAGAATGAAATTCATGTGTTATCTCTGTTCTGTTAATAAAATGGGAGTTTGTGGGTTTTAAAAATTTTGTTTCTAAATGGAGGAATAAATGGCTTTATTTTGGTGGGGGTTGGGACTTGTGGCTTTAAAAAAAAATTGCTTTTGAGTAGGATGTATATTTTCTCTTGGAGTTCTTGTTTCTTGAATTTTTTTAGAATCCTCCACAGCAACATGCGAGACCATGGAGTTAAAGAAACCCAGAGACCTTTATCAATTAACTGTACTGTTTGTGAATTTGTATAAATAATAACAAAGATCCTCTTAAAACGTTTATATTCTTACAGTAAAAGGTTAAACTGATATTTATATAATAAAAGAGGAAATATGAAGTATGTTTTTGAAAAAAAAACACAAAAAATCTTGTATCTGTGAATTATTTTGAAGGCAGTGTTTGTTTGGGTACATGCTAAAGTAGGAGGTGCTTCCTGTGCTGTGAAGCAGGACAAGGTGGAGAGTTCGTCCATCCTCCATGGTGTGAGCGAGCTCATATCATGGTGAAAAATTCATTCTGTGTTAAGGTGCGCTACTGACAGCTAAATGTTTTGTTTCTAGAAATTTCACTAGACTGGAGATTTATATAATTTTTGGTTTTAAACTGTCAACAACATGGACATTTAAAGAAACTGAACAAAATGAAACTTTTTAAACACCAGATTTGTAAGAGTCACAATTTCCCCAGGGCGGCCAGTTTTTCTTTGGGTAGACATGAGACCTAAGGGGGAATGATGAGAAAATGGGTCATGAGATGTGGAAGTGGGGGAGGAAGCTGGGTTTCTTTCCACTCTGCGTGGGTGTGGGGAGGATGTGAAACCTTGAGGGTGCAGGGGGCCGAGCCATTGTTCAGCAAAGTTAAAAAAGCGCCCGCTGTCCCTGCTGGGCTCTCCTGCTCAGTCATGCATACTGAGTCTCGGTGTGGGTGTGGGTGTTGGTGTGAGTCCCGGTGGACAGGAGAAGGCAGCTCAGCCCCTCTTTTTAACATTCTCCTCCAGGCTGCGCTGTATTTAAGCCCTTTCCCGGGGGATGGGGAGACTGGCCAGGAGTTCCTGCACATTTGCATTTTAAGCACTTTCAGTGCTGAAGCTGGCTACTCCTCTACTCTGGAGACTGAATTTGGGCAGATAAATGACTCGTAAGGACTCTAGCAAAGAGTTCCCTTTGGTGGACAATAACTAAATAGTCCGGCACCCTGTGTTGGGCTGTGGAAATCCATGAGTGTAAATGCTCAAAACAGGAGTACTTCATAAACTAAAAATACTGATCCCAGCAAATAGTAGTATAAAACTTTCCTGTATCAACATCTCTTTCCAGGAAGAGAGCTAGAACCCAGGTTTCTCTGGGGTAAGATTGTTTTGTAAAATTTCCAAGCCTTCTGCTTGAGTGTCACAAAAGCTACATTGTTCCCTTCTGGAGAGCCATCACAATCGGGTCTAACTGAGCCTGACACTAGATCCATCTTCCTTTTCTTTGGGGAAGGTGTAGATCTCTTCTTTCCTCTTAGGTTACAGTGCTATTGCCTGGGGAAAAAGAAGTGTGAACCCTAGTAAGAAGTAGGGACTTTGAATTAGGCCCAGCTTTCTAATTTAGCATTTGACACAACAGCCCTACAGTCAGTCACTCAGCTGTAGGTTCTTTTAGACTTTTTTCTTCCTCCAAGAGACTGCATGGCTGTACAGATTCCGTCAATAAAAAGTTGAGCACTTTCTAAGTCTTGGATTCTGCTCACATTCATTTTAATACACCAAATAACCCTACTGAAGATGTTTCTGCTTTTCTGTTTGGTTTCATTTTTTTAGTTTACAGGTTAAATATAAATTTGACTAAAAGGTCAATAAATTATTAATGTTTGCAAGTTGAGACCATCGGCCTAGTATCCTCCTAAACTGGGCATACTTAAAAGTATATAACTGGAGCATCTCTGGAAAAGAGAGACAGACTGCTCACTTCCATCAGTCAAGAGTAACTGCTTATCTCTCAGCCTTTTTGGATGGAAAGATGAGTATGTGTTGAGAACCTGTGGTGTGCTTTGCATGGTACATCTAAGTTCAAGACTTCCAAGCAGCCTGAACAGGTTATCCTGTTTTCCAGGGAAGGTGCAAACTCGCTCTAAGTCACCCAGCCACCCACTGAGGGGAACCAGGATTCAAAGTAGGCCCACCATCCAGTTCCCTTCTGCTCTGTCAGAAGGTGGGAAGGGGCAGTGACTCATCACACCTTGGCCCCCAAGAAGTGAGGATAGCTGAACACAGCAGGGACAAGCACATGCCACAGGGCGCTGTTTTAAAGGGAGTATGGGTGGATCCCATCTCCACCATTCCTGCAGGAATGGAAAGAAGTGCTTTCAAAGAATAGAAGTACTAAAGAAAATGAGCTGATAAATATTTTGTGGGGGGTATAAAATTTAAAAGGCACGTCAGGGCACTTTTTAGAGTAACAGAAAAAAACAGGCTCAGGTATTTGCTAAAACTGACAAACCAAAATGAGTACTTAGTGTGTAAAGTTGATCATCTAGAAGTAGAAACCCTCACAGGGCTGTTGGGGTGGTGCCAGGAAAGGCTGGGCACGCTGTTCTTTTCCAAGTCTCCAGGGCAGTACAGCCCTTCAGTGTCTGTCCAGAAAAGATGTGTAAATGCAACTGTGGGTCTCAGACGGTTTCGGCAGCTATCTGTAAAGGCACAGCACAGGCCTCTGGCAAGGAATCCTAGGAGCTGTTGCCTAAGCCTCCTTGCTGTGGACTCCTTCCTGCGGAGTTCCTCAACCCCAAGGAGAGGGAGGCCCCTTTGATTTATTCCACATTTGGCAATAGTGACAAGGATGCTTGCCTAACTTAGAGTATGTTCTTAAGTGGTTCAGAAAAACTCAAACTCTTATTCTTTCATGATTCAAATCAACAACAAAGATCTGAAAAAAGCAGATGTTTCCTTTAATGGTGTTTCCTTGCAAAGGTAAGAACTTCTCTTAAATAAGGACACAGACATGTAAATTGAAACCCAGCCTATCCTCCAAATCCCGGTACCCTCCTGTAGTAGTTACTAGATATTTTTGAGTTAGAGAACTTGAACTCAAGTTTTCAAAGGGGATAAGGTAGTGGCCCCCAGGGACCTCCATTTTTCCAAGAATAAGAACCTTTGATTACAAGATCAGATCTGTAAACCACTGCCAAGACTTCATACAGCTTCTGACAAGCAGCTCCCTCCAGTCCTGAGAGGGGCCCTGAGAGAGGGGCCCTTAATTGCCCTCAGCAGCTCAGCTGCCCTAAGGGGGCTATTTTAAGTCATCAGGCCAAGTGATCTGGCCACTGAATTCTCTGTTTTTCTCTTCCTTGCATCAAACACCACTCCCTTTAAAAAGTTAGTAGAGGACAAGACCTAAATTTTGTGGCAGTGTAAACCCCTGAGGGGTCAGGGGTGAGGCTTTGGATGAAATAATGCAGATCATGGGTAAAGCACAGGAATAGGAATTGGAAGGCCATGTTCAGACCTAAAGAGATGCTTAAGCCACATATTTATCTCATTTTTGTGTATGTACTTGTTCAAATGCTTGGTAGCAAGTAAAATATTTTGAAAAGTGAACATTGTCAAACAGATGATAGTTTGGATCAGTGCCAACTATTAATGATTTAGAACCTATCAAAGGTCAGTGCACAGCTGGAATAAGAGCATATACTCTCAGGTCTTGGATAGAAAAACAAGTATTTCTAGACAACTGGTAAATTTAAATGTCCACAGATAATCAGTTTCAGTCTTTTCCTGTTTTCCAGAGATGGCTCTAACTTTGCCTGGTGGAGTTGCTTCTATCAGCCCAGAACATTTGGCCCCATGCAAAGCAAGTCTCCCAGGTAAGGTGCAAGAGAAAGGAAGCTTAGGATCCTACTGCACAGCACCAGTGTGGGGTATGTTAAGCATCCCATTCAATAAAAAAAAAAATCAGAAGTGGAAGCCTTTGCCTGCTGTGTGTTAACCCAGAAAGGTGTACATATTTTCTCAAAAGAGGACTGAAGTTTTTATTATCTCATTATCTACCACCTCAGTTGTTTAAAAAAATGCCACATGTCCTTGTAAGTTTGCTTTTATCTGTGACAGTGGGAAGTAGTCGCAATTACAAAGAAGGGAAGGAGTCTTCTGCAGAAGCAAAGGGACCCAGGTGACAGGGCAGTGGGGATGTGAATATGATCTGCTGGACAATTGAGTCCTAACAGTGTTCGACTTTGCTGTCTCAAAATGTTTGTGTTCCCAAATCTGGTAGATTGTGCATTTAATTTTCTAAATGGGGAAAGAGGCTTGACAAGTTTGGGAAGATTCTGCCTTGGAGTGGAAAAAGTATGAGAACCAAAGCGGCTGAAGTGATGGCCACCTCCTAGGGAATGACATGTAGGCGGCTCTTTGATCTTTCCCTGACTTGTAAAGCACTACCCAACTCATTGCATCAGAAAGGCACTAAACCAGAGCATATTTTCACTGGGAATAAAAAAAAAAGTAACAAAACCCCAAATGCTGAAAGTTGTTATTGTTTAATACACACTAACATGAAAACTTAGCTATGTTGTGAAGCATCACCTGTAGACTATTCAAGAAACTGAAAACCTAGTACAATTGGTCAATGGGCTACAGGGCACTGGAGAGCTAGCAGTGTCAAACCTATCCCCTGATGTCCTCAGAGGACTTGAGCCAGTTTCCAGAACACAGCCTTGTTGCAAGTAGTTATGTTAAAGCACAAATGCTGGAAGTCTGGGCTTGTGATAGCCTCTAAGCTAAGAACTTACACACGCTTAACACACTGCAAATGTCTGTCACACAATCCTTTTACAAAGTGAATCATGTTGCAGGATCATCAGCTATTTTCTGTTCATCCAAGGGTAAAATGCTTGACTTCAAAGATGTTTAGTCACACATCCCTCCTCTAGAAGGAGTGAAAGGGTCTAACCTGTTAGTGTCAGGTGCCCTCCCATGTTTATTCCTCCTGGCTTTATGCGGCCCACACCCCATGAAGATCAGGCCCAGCACACAGCCACCTGTTAGAGATTCCTGCTCTTGCCATGGATTCAGGCTTCTGGGATTGGACTGTGGGAAAAAAGTTCTCTGAGAACAAATTAATTTTTTATAAATAGTGAGGAACTGCTCAACATGGTTTGGAAAATACTGTTTTGCTCATCTAAAAGGAATATGAAAATATTTACTACAAACCTGCGTAACAGTCCTTCTCAAGGAAATCTACCTCACACTGGCACTATCTGCTTCCATTTTGCTTTCTGAGAAATGGTCTCTAAATAGGGAGGAACCACAAAATTAGTCATGATATGCCTTAGAAACTTCAGTAAAATCAATGAGGCTAAAATTTGACAGATGGGTAAAATAAGGGAGG